TACCTCCCGAATTTACGAGTTCGAATCCGTCATTAGTGTGTCGTTTAATTTGAGAAAGTCCTTATATGGGTTGTGTAGGGAATAAATTTCAAGCGTTAACCCCATGCTTGAACCCCACTGTGATCATACACTAAAGTACGGTGGCGTCCAAAGGGAAAGAAGATAGAGCAAAAGAGTCGCCAACAAGTTTTTTTAGGAACTTGTAAACTGTTCACGAGGTGAAGGTTACACCCCTTAACGATCCAAGAGATCGTTAACTCCATAAGGTCAAGAACCAAATAAGGGTTCGGGGATGAAGGTACAAATCCAACCTAAAAGAGATTGAACCTGCCCTATTAATAGGCATCTACTTTATTCTGATCGTATTCATGTGCGCTTCCTGACTAACATGCAATTAATAGGATTAACCCAAATCTGTTTATCTATGTTGGTTGAATATTAATGCACAAATAAAACTATTATTGGCGATCACTCGAATTATAATCACAATTAACCCTAACAAGATTATTAATTATCTTATTAAGCGTGATTACAAGTACCAATTCCCTTCATGCATAAAAGGTGTGATCAAACAATAACAATAAAAATCAAGCAACATAATAAATAATCAAAATAAATAATCATCATCAAAACAATAATAATAATAATAATAATAATAATAATAATAATAATAATAATAATAATAATAATAATAATAATAATAATAATATTCATAATCATCATGAATTATAACAATTATAATCATAATCATAATCATGTTCATGTTAATATTAAAGCATAATAATAACAGCAAGATCATAGGCATGATACTAACAAGATAAATAACAAACCCTAGCATGTCACTAAGCAATAAAAATCAAATCTTTAACCCTAACATGATACTAACAATCACAAATATAAGGAAGAACATAGGAAGCATCGTGACAAACATATTTAGTATTAAAGCTACCCTAGACATGATACTAGGGATATCATAATAACAATATAAACATGATTTCTACATCATAATATCAATAAAAATCATTAAAGTACTTACTTTGATGCTTCGTACCTCTTTCTAATAACAAAATACACACGTTAGTAACTTCAAGGAAAATAATAAACAAACAATTAAATTAAATAATGGAAATAGAGATTTGGGACCAAACCCTCAGAAATTAAACCTTTCACGTCTAGGGCGAAGGCAACTTCGAATATGGCTAGGTTTTTCTAGATCTTGTGAATGCGGAATTTTGTATGCAAAAGATTAGTTTAGAAAAAGAGAGAGAGAGAGTTGAATGATTAAGGGAATTAAGAGAATTAATGAATGAAAACTGATTGTAGGCGAATGCTAATTAAAACTGATTGTTGATGATAATTGGTGAGAATTCGTGAATGAAAACAGAGTTTTTTAATATGTTATTTATAGAGAAAATCAACCGAAAAGAGAAATTAAACAAAACAGAGTCTGACGCACAAAAAACAGAGTTGGCGCAAACCCAGGCTAACTAGCGACAGGCACCAACACTAGCGCCTGGCGCCATTGGCTAGCGCCAGGCACCAGGCCTGGTTCCAGGCGCCAATGCCTGGAGTCAGGTGCCAAGCCTGTTTTTAACGCGTTTTCAAAAATCAGATAAGTTTGCCGTATTGTAGGATAAAATCGTATATTTTCCTCAAAAATGCTATTTGATTTTAATTAAAACTCTGAAAAATCAACAAAAGTCAATTTATCAATGCTAACTGAATTAGGAATGAAAAGAACCTTCTAGAAGAATCTAGAAGACTAAAACCATTCCTAATTTCATTAGGAAAGATAAATCATATTAGGCCCTCCCCTAGATCATTGGGCCGTATATAAGGCTCAAACCGGGCCCAGTTTAGTAAATTGGCCATAACTTCCTCAATATTCATCGGAATTGGGCTTATAATATATCGTTGGAAAACTCTTGTCAAGCCCCATCCAACTACACTATTATTGGACCCATATCATGGACCAACCAAACTGGATTGGCTGTTTTCTTAAAATAAGTTTTCAAAAACAGAGAGAAGAGAAAATAAATTAAAACTATCCGCAACACTAAACCTTCCACACTTTCACTTCATTCGATTATGATTCGACGTGAAAGGTACGCATCACTGGGTTTGGCTTTGGGGAGACACAAATGGGTGTCTACAAGTTGAAACAAGAACCGAGATGTTGGTTTGCAAAGCTAGTATCGGCCTTGAAAGGGTATAGCTTCTTACAATCTTACTCTGATTATTCTCTATTCACTTATACTAAAGGCAATGTTCAAATTAATGTCTTAGTATATGTTGATGATCTTATTATCTCTGTTAATCATTCCGCTGCACTTGTTGGTTTCAAGGCCTATCTTAGTGATTGTTTCAAAATGAAGGATCTTGGTCCTTTAAAGTATTTCTTGGGCATAGAAGTTGCTCGTAGTGCCTCAATTATTTTTTTGTGTTAACGAAAGTATACTTTGGATATTATTTCTGAGTCAGTTTTATTGGGGGCAAAGCCGAGTGGGTTCCCCATGAAGCAAAACCACAAGCTCGGTCGAGCCACAGGCGAGTTTTTGGCGGATCTGGAGGTGTATCGTAGGCTTGTTGGCCGTTTAATCTACCTTGCAGTCACTAGACCTGATTTAGCATACTATTCATATCTTGTTTCAATTTATGCAAGAGTCGCGCAGTGAACATTGAGAAGCAGCTCTTCGTGTCGTTCGTTATTTAAAAGGTACCCCGGGTCAAGGTATCTTGTTGAGTGCAGATAGTGATATCACCTTACAAGGGTGGTGTGATTCGGATTGGGAGGCTTATCCTCTTACTCGTCGTTCTATTACAGGCTGGTTGGTGTTTTAGGGCATTCGCCTATCTCTTGGAAGACTAAAAAGCAACCCACTGTGGCAACGTCCTCTTAAGAGGTCGGATATATATCCATGTCGGCAGTTACTTGTGAGCTTAAGTGTCTTAAGGGTTTGTTGTTAAGTTTGGGTGTGCAGCATCCAAAGGCAATCAAATTATTTTGTGATAGTCAATCTGCTTTGCATATAGCAAAGAATTCTGTTTTTCATGAAGAAACCAAACACATTGAAGTTAATTATCATTTTGTTCGGGATGCGATTGTTGAAGGCTTGATTTCTCCTTCCTATGTTCCTACTACTTCTCTATTGGACGATATATTCACAAAGGCTTTTGGGAAAGCACAGTTTGACTATCTTCTCTCTATGTTGGGCATTTATGACACACGTGCTCCAACTTAAGGGGGGTATTGGGATATATTTTGTGATATTTTGGGTAGTTATCTTTTCTATTGTTTCCTAATCCCTAGTTGCTTAAGTTAAGGTAATTCTAGGTTAGCTTTGTATATATATTGGTTTTAGTTGATTAATGAAGGGTATGTAAGCCATAAGTTTATACGAATTCTTCAATCTTGCAATAGAATTTTGATTCTTAATGGTAGTGATTGTGATAGTGTACTTATTGCTGGTCAATTAGAATATAAAATTATTTTTCTTGTTAAAATGAACTCAGATTTTAGATAGGAGTTAAAAGAAAGCAGAGGTGACGATTGGGGTCGCTGTTCATCCTAGGCGACGCAAGGGGTGGGGGCGGGGTGGCTGATTGGTTCGTTTAGGCCTTAGGTAGGGCGGGGATGGGTTGTGTTTTTTCTTTATTTTTTATCTTACAAAAATAAAATAAACCTACTAAATGGTGACATGTGGAAACTAACCTAGAAAAACCGATTACCAAAACAACCCAACCGCTTAGGGATTGTTAAAAGAAGATTAGGGTAAAAGGTGGGATTATTTGGAATAATCGAAAGTGGGATTATTAATAGAAGATATTGCAAAGGTTAGATTATTAATTTCCATTTTTCTAATAAAATAAGAGGAGAATTATTCAATAATTAGATAGATATACAAAGTTTGATTTGTAAACCATTATATAAAATTAATAAATTATAGAAATAATTTGGGGGAAAAATGATTTCAATAACATGAAGAACATTTAAAGAGAAACAATTTAGACTGCAAATAATTTTACCCAAAACAACGAGAGGAGAATTATTCATTAACTAGATGAATAAACAAAGTTTAGTTCATTAGAAAAAATATTTATAGAAAAAATCAGGAAAAAAATTTTGAATTCAAGAACATTAGAAGAGAGGAAAATCGAACCAAAAAAAAAGGAAAAATGGAAACTAATAATCCCACCTTTGGGTTTTTGCTCCAAACAATCCCACCTTTTCGAAATCCCAAAACAATCCCACCTTTAACCCCCATCTGCTCAAAACAAGCCTTTTACCGGTTTGTAAAATTGGTAACCTATTTTAGAAGGTAACTTGCCACGTGTCACCTTCTTATTGGTTTTTTTAAAAAAAATAATAAAATAAAGATTAATTAGAAAATGAATAACTTATCGTCTTCCCTCTTCCCCAAGTACCTCCCTGTTGGAGCTCCCCCTCTTCTTGCTAGACCCAGCCACCCTGCCGGAGCTCCCCTCCCCACGCCAAGCCTAATCGCCCTTCCCCATCCTTGCCAGCCCTACTCCTTTAAAGGAATTAACAACCACCCTACCCCCAACCTTGGCGCTGCCTTGGAATGTCGACGCTATCTCCCATTGTACCTACGACTGTGATCAAAATTGAAGCTAGTCCTTTTGAACAAATTCAATGTCGTATTTGTCTCTGTTATAATATATTCTTGTATATATCTCTATGTTAGTTAAGTGTATAATTAGATTATATCCTTTCCTAGTTTATTAGTGTAATCATAGCCTTAGATTGCTATTGTAATGTGTATATAATATTTGCACAGCTAATGAAAATGATCAACGGTCAATCTCTTTTATGGTATCAGATTAGGGTTTCAATCTTAGCTCATATTCTCCTTAACAACTCGCCCAGGTCCCTTTCTTCTTCTTCTTCTTCTTCTTCTTCTTCTTCTTCTTCTTCTTCTTCTTCTTCTTCTTCTTTTTCTTCTTCTTCTTTTCCGATCTTCTTCCGCTGCATAATAACCATGGCCGAATCAAAATATCACCCTGCCTTGACTATTACCAACGTCAAGTCTCTTATTCCAATAACTTTAGATGCCGACCATGGGATATATCACTCTTGGGCTGCCCTTTTCAAGGTCCTTGTTAGGGTTCATGACCTCTCCCACCACATCATACCTCCTACGGAGGCAAAAGAACGAGCAGAATATGAATCTTCTAAAGCAGCAGACCTCGCTTTTTGGAAGCGTTTGGATGCTGCAGTGCTTAATTGGATATACAACTCAATCTCCCCTGCTCTTCTCACGACTATTCTTCTCAAAGATGACACGGCTTAAGGTTTCTGGGCTCGTCTCCAGTCTATGTTCCAAGACAATAAAGCTTCTCATGCTTCACATCTCGAACAAGAACTTGCCGAACTTGACTTTGAGAACTTCTCTTCAATTGACGGGTATTGTAATCACATCAAATCCCTTGCCGATTGTCTTGCAGATGTTGATGATCCAATTCCCGACACCGCCTCATTCTGAAAATGACAGCCGGACTCCTCGAGGCATACACCGGAACCGTGGATATTCAAAATCAAGAGCCCCTTCCTACTTTTGAGAGTTGTCGATCTCGTTTGAAGTTTGCCGAGCGGACTATCAAAAACCGCTTGGCAAAGGAGGGTGGGTCCTCCAAACCTCTGACGGCCTTAGTCTCCACCACCGGCGGGCAGCAGAACTCTGAGTCTTTGGTGCAATCCTCTGCCCAAAGGTCTAATTTCAAGACTGGAAAATAGAAGAAACATAATTCAAAGAATTCTGGGAAGCCGCATAATTCAAATGGCTTAGCCCAACAGCAGCAGCCTTATTAGCAAGGCCCATCCCCTTGGCCTTCATAGAACATGTGGTTGGCTCAGTGGCCTAACCCTCATTGTCCGTACTTGGCAGCCTCGTGGGCTCCAAGACCTTCTGCATCCTCTTCTGCCAGCTCTTAGCCAAGTGGGTCGGGAATATTGGGCCAGCACCCTCAGGCCTACAGCGCCATAAATCCATCCCAAACCGACATTGAGGCAGACAAGCATATGCTTGCAAATTTGGGTAAAACAGATAGCAACTATTATATGGACACTGGTGCAACGGCTCATATGACGGCGAACCAAGGTATTATTTCATCTTATATTGATTCGAGCATTAAAAATCGTCACATTGTTGTTGGTAGTGGTGACTTAATTCCAATTATTAGTCATGGTAACACTAATTTGCCTTCCCCATACCCTCCATTTACCTAAAAACAACGTTTTACATGCTCCAAAATTAATAAAGAACCTAATATTTGTTCGTAAATTTACCACCGATAACATGGTTTCCATTTCCTTTGATCCTTATGGCTTTTCTGTGCATGATTTACAAACGGGAGCCAAACTAATGACATGTGACAGTACCGATGACTTATATCCTCTATTTCCACCTACTCAAGCCAGCTCCTCCGTCAATCAGTCAAATTTCACTACACTTTCATCTGATCTGATCTTTGGCATAGGCGCCTAAGACATCCCGGAGATGTCATCCTTAGATCCTTAAGTAGTCAAAATTTTATTGATTGTAATAAGGCTTGTAACTCTTTTCGTTCTTCTTGTCCTCTTGGAAAACTATCTAAATTTCCTTTTAATGATTCTATGTCACACACTACTTTTCCTTTTGATATTATTCATAGTGATTTGTGGACCTCCCATATTACTAGTTCTTCTGGTCATTGCTATAATATATTGTTGCTTAATGATTACAGTAAATTTTTATTGACCTATCCTATTGCTAAGAAATCCCAAGTCAAACACTTATTTCAATCTTTTCATAAGATAGTCCAAACTCAATTTGAGCGTAACATTAAGACTTTTCAATGTGATAATGGTACAGAGTATGTTAATGGAACCCTTACAGAATTCTTTAATAATCATGGCATGCTCTATCGTCTCTCTTGTCCTCACACATCCCCTCAAAATGGAAAAGCCGAACGCCACATAAAATCTATTAATAACATCATTCAGACCCTTCTTGCTCATGCATCCTTGCCTCACTCATTTTGGCATCATGCTTTAGAAATGGCAACTTATCTCTTAAACATTCTTCCAACCAAAGTCTTAGGCTATAAATCTCCTACTCAAGTTTTATACAACCTGATCCAATTTACTAGGAATTATGTATCTTCGGGTTCTTATGTTTTCCTCTTTTTCCTACCATTTCTATTCATAAGTTGCAAGAACGGTCCACCCCATGTGTCTAACTTGGGCCCGCTCCAAGTTATCGAGGTTCAAAGTGTTATGATTTATCAAATGGTTAAATCATTATTTGTCGCCATGTGAAAACTATCGAAAATGAATTTCCGTTTTCTAAAATTCATAAGCCAAATTATAGTGATTATGATCTTTTGGATGAAAATCCATTTAATCACCAACCCCATTTGCATACCACGACTCCACCTCCTGCCCAGCCCACTCCTCAAGTGCAGCCTGCTTCCCCTTTCAACTCGTCTGGGCCTTCTCAATTTGGCCTAGCTTCTCCCTCTATCTCTCCCTCACCTGGTACTGTCACAGCCCAGTCCGGACATCGACACACTCCTCACCTTGGGCCTCTTTCCCCTGACAGCCCACCAGACACTTCCTCACGAAGTCCTAGACATTCGTTCACTACCTTCCCCTCTCCTAGCCCTCAACCTGACAGCCTCACCACTCCACATCTCCATCACTACCCCATAGACCCACCAGACATCCACCAAATGACCACCCGTGCCAAAGCCGCCATTACAAAGCCTAACCCCAAGTACTTTTCCAACCTAAACACGATGACCACTAGTACTATATCACCTATTCTAAAGGACCCGGTTAGTGTTATTCGTGACCCAAATTGGAAAAATTCTATGTTAGACGAATATAATGCTCTTATTGATAATCATACATGGGATTTTGTTCCTCGGCCTCCTAATGTGAATGTTATTCTCTCTATGTGGATATTTTGTCATAAACAAAATTCTGATGGTTATTTTGAGCGGTATAAGGCTCGTCTTGTAGGTGATGGCAAGGCACATTAGCAGGGTATTGATTGTAATGAGACTTTTATTCCGGTTGTTAAACCAGCAACTATTCGTACTGTTCTTAGCATTGTTATTTCTCACTCATGGTCGATCCATCAGTTGGATGTCAAGAATGCTTTTCTGCATGGTTATCTTAACGAGACAGTCTATATGCATCAGCCTATGGGGTTTTGTGACAAAAGTCACCCTGATCATGTGTGTCTACTACGGAAATCCCTATATGGCCTCAAATAGGCTCCTCGTGCCTAGTATCAGCGGTTTGCAGATTTTGTTACTTCTATTGGATTTACTAACAGTAAATCTGGTAATTCTCTTTTTATCTACAGACAGGGGTCTAATACTGCTTATATTCTGTTATATGTTGATGATATCATTCTTACAACATCTTCTAACCCTCTACAGACACACTTTATGGGTCTCATGAGCTCTGAATTTGCAATGAAGGACTTAGGTCCTTTGAGTTTTTTCTTGGGCATTGCTGTGTCTCGGAATGATGATGGTATGTTCTTGTCTCAGAAACAGTATGCTTCTTCTATCATTGACAGGGCCAGTATGTCCAACTGTAGTCCTTGTCCTACCCCTGTTGACACCAAATCAAAACTTAGTGCCACTCATGATGCTCCATATGATGATCCCACTAAGTACAGGAGTCTTGCAGGTGCTCTTCAGTACCTGACTTTTACCAGACCCGATATTTCATATGATGTTTAGCAGGTTTGTCTTCACATGCATGATCCGCGCAATGCGCATATGGGTGCCTTAAAGCGTATTTTGCGCTACTTACAAGGTACATTGTCTTTTGGTTTGCTCTGTATAAGTCTTCTATTGACAGTCTTGTTTCTTAAACTGGTGCGGATTAGGGAGGATGCCCCGACACCAGGCGATCTAATTCAGGTTATTGTGTATTTTTAAGGGATAATTTGATTTCCTGGTCTTCTAAACGGCAACCTACATTGTCTAAATCTAGTGCATGCAGAAGCCGAGTATCGTGGGGTTGCTAATGTAGTGTCTAATTCTTGTTGGATCAGGAATTTGTTGCTTGAGCTTTTCTTGCATATTCGAAAAGCAACTATAGTTAATTGTGACAATGTGAGTGTCATCTACCTCTCAGGAAATCCAGTGCAACATCAATGCATGAAACATATTGAGATGATGGACATTCATTTTGTTTGTGAGAAAGTCGCAAAGGGCGAGGTACGAGTTTTATATGTTCCCTCTCGATATCAGATTGCCGACATATTTGCGAAGGGACTTCCACGAGTTTTTTTTGATGACTTCCGTGCCAGTCTTTGTGTGTGTGATTCTCCCGCTACGACTGTGGGGGAGTGTTAGAATATATGTTAATATATTCTTGTATATATCTCTATGTTAGTTATGTGTATAATTAGAGTATATCGATCCTTTCCTAGTTTGTTAGCATAATCATAGCCTTAGATTTCTATTGTAATGTGTATATAATATTTGCACAGCTAATGAAAATGATCAACGATCAATCTCTTTTAGTCTCAAAACTAGGTTAAGTCTCGTGCCAGGCACGTTCATAATTAAATGTACAAGAAATAAATAATAAATAATGGTGTTAATTCAACAATAATTTATCCAAAAAAAATTATTTGTTACAAAATAACTTGAATTTTAATTAGTTTATACCAATACCAAATATGTAAAGGTTATTGAATTGAATTGTATAAGGGTCTGTTCACTTTAGCTTAATTTCAGTTCAGTTCAGCTCCAATTAATTCAGCTCATTTCAGCTCCTAATTTCCTTCTCTCATAAAATATTCACTTAAGCTCTAATCAGTTCTGTTAAGCTCCAATCAGTTTAATTTAGTTCAGTTCATCTGCTAATTTCCATATCCCATAAAATATTCAGTTCAGTCCAGTTCAGTTAAGCTCTAATCAGTTCAGTTCAGTTAAGCTCAATTCAGTAAATGTGAACAGGCCCTTAGAAGCTATAAAATTTTATATAAGAAAATTAAAAAATTAGCTTAGGCTGGTACCCATATACGAACTCATATACATTTGTCCTTAATAAAATTGTTAACATATATACTTTGATCGGCATAATATGAAAATTAAGGGGATGTTCTCTTATGTTGAAATTCAGTTCAGTTAAGCTTAGTTCAGTTCAGTTCAGTTCAGCTCCTAATTTCCTTCTCTTATAAAATATTCATTTCAGTTCAATTCAGCTCATTTCAGTTCAGTTCAATTCAGTTCAGCTGAGTTCAGTCAATGAGAACAGGCCCTTAGTCAATTCAACCAAAATTATATCAATCTTGAAAAGGATCTAAATTGGAATCGAATTGGCATATGAAATTCAATAATCAACTTTTCAAATATGTCTTTAGTGAGTAGTAGGGGTTTTTATTTTTTAAATAATCACATAAATATTTAGAATAATTAGGTTTAATTTTCCATTTATAAAGTATACTATAACAAAATTATTTTGTTCTTATAAACGTTATGTATAATTTTAAGATTAATACAAAGTATGCTACTGTATACACCCATTTGTGTCTCCCAAAAACCAAACCCAGTGATGAGTATCTTTCGCGTCGAATCATAATCGAATGAAGTGAAAGTGTGGAAAGTCTAGTGTTGCGGATAGTTTTAATTTCTTTTCTCTTCTATCTGTTTTTGAAAACTTATTTTAAGAAAACAGCCAATCCAGTTTGGTTGGTCCATGATATGGGTCCAATAATAGTGTAGTTGGATAGGGCTTTACAAGAGCTTTCCAACGATATATTATAAGCCCAATTCCGGTGAATATTGAGGAAGTTATGGCCTAATTACTAAACTGGGCCCGGTTTGAGCCTTATGTGCGGCCCAATGATCTAGGGGAGGGCCTAATATGGATTTATCATTCCTAATGCAATTAGGAATGGTTTTAGTCTTCTAGATTCTTCTAGAAGGTTCTTTTCATTCCTAATTCAATTAGCATTGATAAATTGACTTTTGTTGACTTTTTCAGAGTATTAATTAGAAACAAAGAGTTTTTTGAGGAAAATACGATTTTATCCTCCTGCACGGCAATTTCTATCTGATTTTAAGAAAACGCGTGAATTTCTAAGTCAGCGCCAAATGTCAGCTGTAGCGACTGACACTACGCTTGGCGCCTGGCGCCAATCTTAGCGTCTGGCGTTAAGGTCAGCGTCTGGCGCCAACTTAGTTTTTTGCGTCAGAACTCTGTTTTTTGATATTTTATCTTTTGGCTGATTTTCTTTATAAATAACGTCGTAAAAACTCCGTTTTGATTCACCAACTCTCATCAAGATTTTCTTGATTACTCTCTCTCTCTTTTTTCTAAACTAGCCTTTTCACAAATATAAAAATTCCGCATTCATTAGCACTAGGATCACCTAGCCATATTCGAAGTTGCCTTCGCCCTAGACGTGAAAGGTTTAATTTCTGAGGGTTTGGTCCCAAATCTCTATTTTAATTATTTAATTTAATTGTTTGTTTATTATTTTCGTTGAAGTTACTAACGCGTGTATTTTGTCATTAGAAAGAGATACGAGGCATCAAAGTAAGTTCTTTAATGGTTTTTATTGATGTTATGATGTAGAAATCATGCTTAGATTGTTATTATGATATTCCTAGTATCATGTCTAGGGTAACTTTAATTTTAAATATGATTGTTATGATTCCTTTTATTTTCTTCCTAATATTTATGATTGTTAGTATCATGTTAGGGCTATATATTTGATCTTTATTGTTTAGTGACATGCTAGGGTTTGTTATTAATCTTGTTAGTATCATGCCTAGGGTCATGTTATTATTATGCTTTAACATGATTATTATGATTATGATTATTATAATTATTATTATGATGATTATTATTTTGATTATTATTATGATTATTTTGATTATAATTTATTATTATTATGTTGCTTTATATTTATTATTATTGCTTGATCACGCCTTTTTATGCATGTTTAAAGGGAATTTGTACTTGTAATCACGCTTAATAAGATAATTAATAATCTTATTTAGGGTTAATCTGATTATAATTCAAGTGATCGCCAATAATAGTTTTATTTGTGCATTAAATTAAACCAACATAGATAAACAGGTTTAGGGTTAATCCTATTGATTGCATGTTAATCAGAAAGCGCACATGAATACGATCAGAATAAAGTAGATGCCTATTATTAGGGCAGGTTCAATCTCTTTTAGGTTGGATTTGTACCTTCATCCCCGAACCCTATTTGGTTCAAGACCTTATGGAGTTGACGATCTCTAGGATCGTTAAGGGGTGTAACCTTCACCCTGTGAACGGTTTACAAGTTCCTAAAAAAACTTGTTGGCGACTCTTTTGCTCTATCTTCTTTCCCTTTGGACGCCACCGTAGTTTAGCGTATGATCACAGTGGGGTTCAAGCTAGGGATTAAATCTTGAAATATTCCCTACAGTTTTTGGCGACTCCACTGGGGAGGATTTCTATTTTAATTCCTGAATTTGTTTCGGAAATGATTTAGAATGAGTGGATGAGACTCGTAACGTTCTAAGTATTTCATGTGCGTAATTTTGATTAACATTATTGTCATATGCATAAAAAATATCTCATTAGAAAGACCATCCGTAATGAGTTAAAACATAGGATTTTACACGTAGAAAATTTGAGGAATATCTTTCACAACTAGGACAGAAATAACACTGCGCGAAAACTGGAAAATTTTATCGAGCACAGAAAGCTGCTGAGGCATGTAGGAATTAGCGTCAGCGAACAGAATATTAGCGCCAGACTTTTAACTGTAGCGCCAGACGACAGTTCTGTCGCCAGGCGCTACAGCTAAAACTTGGCGCCAATCTCTGTTTGCTGGCGCCAAATTCTTCCAATATCGAGCCAGAAATATGCGTTCTAATTTCAACCAGTTTTTCGTATTGTTTGCTCGATCCTACTTCCTGATTGAGTTTTTCTCACTTTTCTGAAACCCATATGTGTTCTACATATGGACATAACCCTCTGGGAATTCATGCTCCATCTACCTAATTGAACGCTCTAAGCAATAAAGGGTACATCCGAGAATGTTGAATTCACCAAACCATTGAAGCGAGTTTTTTCTAAAACTAGCGGTGTCCCATCCACTCGCGCCAACCCTTCACGGTTAGGATTCCGCGCGGTGCATCCGGACAATTAACCATGGACCCTCTATTGACTAAACCATATCCCGAACTTTAGAGAGCTAGAACCATGGTTAGGTTGCAAACTCATTGCATCATATTGTGCCTACTTGACTAATTGTGCATTATTTGTTGTGCATATACTATGTTTTCTTAACCGTTTGTTTGACTTGTGTTGAGATAAAATAAATTAATGACTTAAAGAACTTTGCCTAATTAATTAAATAATTAATTAATTAATTTGAATAAATAAAGTCTAATATTTTAATCAGAATTGACCTAGTACGACTTTAGGCATGCCCCTGTTGATTAATAACACCGAAAACAGTCTCAGATTGAAGCTCCAGCATTGGCGCCAAAGTCTGAACTGTAGTGCCACTCTGTGGAGTGTGGCGCCTGGCGACAGCTCTGTCTTCTGGCGCTACACTGCAAAGAGAGACGCTAGTCCTGTCGTTTTGACGACAGTTCGGATTATTGATCGAGTCATCATCTAGTGTCTAATTAACTAGTTTGCTAATTAATTCGGTTAATTTTCGCTGTCAACAGTACTTGGTTGAGTCATTAATTGAGTTTAGGCACTAAGTCCC